CGCTGGGTATGGACTTCCAGACGAGCAATCGTGTTAAACAGGCCACATGCCGTTGGGTACAACCTCCATACGGACAACTGGGTTAAAGACTAACGGGCCGCTAGGAATGAACGTCTAGCTAGACGAACACCTTGACAAACGAGGTGGGCTAAAACTGACTCTGATACCATGATAGAATTTAGGATGGGGTAGGGATAACTGGATTGGGCTATAAGACACTTGAGTTGAACAACATTAAAAGATTGAATCCAATCGATTAGTTAGTTCAACTCAAGGACTTATATAACGGGTTATGGTAGTGTTTCATTATTAGTCAGCTTCCTAATCCTATTTGTGGTAGATGTTGTATGTTAGTTAGTTTCCATTCTCTATTCCTAGTTGTATTAGGAGTTTCTCCTATATATACTCTATCATGTACATCATAATTTAATGAGCAATATTATTATTCCAATATTCCAACTTGGTATCAGAGCCACCGCTCTTGGTGACCTAAAAGAGTTCTTTGCTTCCGTCGCCGCCGCCGGTAATTCCGGCGACGGCGGCTCCACCTTATTCACATCTATTTTTTTTCCTTCTTTTATCCTCAAATTAACTTCTCCACTCAAAAAAAAGAAAAAAAAATTCCCGTGTTGAAATCACAAAAAAAAGCCGTCAAAGGAGGAGCTTCCCTCTTGCCATGGTTCTTAAAAAAAACACAAAATCCTCACAAGCTCTCACGATCAACTCATCTTATCTTCTCCAAAAAAAGAAAAAAAATGATTGTTATTTCTCTTCAATTCACCATATCAAAATCTCAGACCCAAATTTTTTTTCCATCTCCAATTCTTAACCTACTTTTTCTCTCTAAAATCACGCATTCTAATCATCAACCTCCCTTCTCTTTCTCTTCTGTTGAACCAATAAAAATCCAAGGTAAATCAGCACAAAAGCAAAGCTAAGAGGGGAAGTAGTGAAAGAAGAAATAAGACCTCTACAACTCACCCCTTCAAGAAGAAAATAGGGCATTGCCCGGATCCAAGAAAAAGACAAAAAATGTCAAGGATCTTCAGTCAAACAGGCACCTCCAGTAGCCTTCTCTATTCTTCTTCGACGTTAGCAGCTACTAGCGCACGTCAGACTTCTCTCTTCTCCAACGGCGTCAGCAGCCACCGGCGCACGTAAGACTTCTCTCTTCTCCAACGACGTCAGCAGCCACCGGTGCACGTCAGACTTCTCTCTTCTCCAACGACGTCAGCAGCCACCGGCGCACGTCAGACTTCTCTCTTCTCCAACGACGTCAGCAGCCACCGGCGCACGTCAGACTTCTCTCTTCTCAAAGTTTCCAGTTTCCGGCTAGTGTCCAAGCTTCCTCTTGCTTCAGCCAGAGTTCAGCTTGAGGGGGGATGTTAGACAATAATACTAATAGTACTTCTTGTAGTATTAGTTATGGTAGTGTTTCATTATTAGTCAGCTTCCTAATCCTATTTGTGGTAGATGTTGTATGTTAGTTAGTTTCCATTCTCTATTCCTAGTTGTATTAGGAGTTTCTCCTATATATACTCTATCATGTACATCATAATTTAATGAGCAATATTATTATTCCAATATTTCAACAATAGTAATGACACATCTTAGCTTGTTTTGTAGAGCTTCTGATATAGCTTCTTAATATGTAAATTTTATTTTTTGAATTCTGCTCCAATTCTCAAATAAATTGTATAGAAAATAACTTCAGTAAAAAAACATAAACCAAAACAGACGATTTAATCATATATTCATACATATATGTATAGAGCACTATTTCTGGGACTATTCGTGACTCTACTTTGAGTACATCTTAAAATAAATTATTTTTTGCCTCTGTCCGTATATATTTGTTTAATTTAACTTTTTCAAATTAAACTAGATGATTTACTTAAAATCTTTAATCATTAATTACTCCTAACTTCTATTGCATATTAATACAATAAAATTTAATTTTAAAAATACTTAATAAGATAAATCTAATGAAATCGTTTTTAACTAATATACATTATAATTTTTTTGGAAGCCCAACATAATCTTATTTGATTCGAAAAAGTCAAACTGAACAACGAATATACTTGGAGGAGGGATGTAGTATAAAATAACAAGAAAGGTAGGGTACGCATTGGTATGTTATGAGAATTGATTGGTTAATGAGATCAAATTGAGTTGATGATTCAGAACCCACACACGCACATACGACCAGATGATGAAAACGTCACTGTTAAGAAGAGAATTGGATGGATGAGTGTATATACAAATATAAATAAATAAATTAAAGTGTTTTGCTCATTCATTATTCCTTTTGGTGCACGGCTGGTTTGTAGTAGTGTTGGAGACACGCCAAGAAATAGTAATTTAGGTAATCTAATTCTCTAAACTTGATGTGATTATTTCTGATCTGACTGGAATAAATTATGATCTGATCTGACTTGGTTTAATCTGATCTAATTTGAAATATGGTTATATTAAAAGTTCTGATCTGATTTGGTCTGATCTAACCTGATTCCAAAGAGAATAAGTAATCAGTAAAAAAATAAGTTGAGGAAAACACGGCCTTAGGCTAGTGATGAGCATAAAACTAGGACCGAAAAGATTGAATTGGTCAGGATAGATTGAGATTGAGACCAGAAAAGATGAGACAAATGTAGTCTTTGAGACCGATCTAATCTTGGACTGATAGTCTTATTTGGTCCTTGATTTTTTATGAAGGACTAGACCGGGACCGGACTAGGACTAGAGATATAATGTTTTTGAAATATAGTTTTTATACATGTCTATTTGCACTTAAAAATTTAATTTTTATATAAATATGTTTATCCTATCAATATAGGGCATAATATATTGCATAATTTTATTTAAAATTTACAAATAAGTGATAAAAAAATTGATATCTATAAAACATACTCTGTACATATTAGATTTATTTTTTCGTTAATTCTATCCAACTTTTAGAGTAAATTCCATAAAAAGTCTCCAGTTATAGGTTGTTTTACATACTTAGTCCATACATATCAAATATTACTAATTTAGTCCCCAATGATTATATTCATTTCCACGAATGGTCCTTTGTTACGTTAACATTTTCGTTAAGAACGTGGATAAAATTGTAAATTCACACTCCTTTCTCTCCTCAATTAAGCTTCCTCCCTCCTCTTGCACGCCTTTCCCAAACCCGTCGCTGAGTTTGAAGCTTTGAATCCAAAACCGAAATCATCACTCTTCTCTCAATTGTTTGTCTAATTGGTGGAACCTAAATTTGAAACTAGTAACCTTAATGGATAAGTTTTAATGTTTATTTTTCTTGCAATTTTTTGAAACTAACCGATAAACTCATCCATAAAGCTTATTGGTTTTGATTTTAGCTGGTTACACCAAGAAGACTAATAATTGAGAGAGGAATGATCATTTCAGTTTTAGGTTTAGAGCTTCAAACCCATCGACGAGTTTGGAAAAGAGTACGAGAGGAGGGAGGTAGCTTAATAGAGAAGAGAGAGAAGTATGAATATACAATTTTATCTATGTTTTTAACAAAAACGTTAACAAAGAAGCATTCGTGAAAAATGATATAATAATTGGGGACTAAATTAGTAATATTTGATATGTAGGGACGAAATATGTAAAACGACCTATAACTGGAGACCTTTTATAGAATTTACTCCAACTTTTACATAATAATATTCATGTTGCATAATTATTATAAATCAATAAAGATTAGAAAAAAGTAATTAAATAGTAAAAAACAATACTTTTTTTTATTTTTTACGAGAATTTTTTTTGAAGAACAAAATTTAAGAATTTTACAAATTAAGGATCAGAACGGACTTGGACCGATTCTAACGGACTACCCAGTCCCAAAAGGTCATAAACAATTTTAAATATAATTACATTCAGATCAGAACTTATTAAAATAAAATCAAAATCATTCAGATCAAGTGAAGAGAACATGGTCTTACTCTCTCCCTCCCCCAAAAAAGTTTCATTTTTTTGGTTTCCAAATATATAAAAAATTTTTTATTTTAGGACAACCAAAAAAGAATTGTGAAATCTTTTTGTGAGAGGGAATGAATAATCAATGCAGTACAAGTACAACATATTATGTATGTTGTGTTGTTGGCCGCATCAATTTATTATTTTCTCAAAACACATTGCTAGCACATGTTATGTTTTACAAGTGCATATATATTATGGAGTACATGATAATGTAATATTTATTCATACTCATCTCAACTTAATGACAGACAATGAATTAACGGTAAGTCTAAAATGACACTAGTGCTACTAGTGTCATTTGCTTACACCAGTTCGTTTGAGGTACCTACGGTGCTCCGTTTGTAAAAACGATGGTTCCTATCCCCCTAACCTTCCCCCTAAACCCCCCACCCCAGCCCCACCCTTGCCCCCCCACCCCAGCCCCCCCTCCCGCCCCCTCCCTACCCTGGCAGTACACTGCCTGGCAGTGTACTGCCAGGGTAGGGAGGGGGTGGGAGGGGGGGCAGGGGTGGGGGGGAGGCAAGGGTGGGGCTGGGGTGGGGGGTTTAGGGGGAGGGTTAGGGGGGTAAGAACCGTCGTTTTTACAAACGGAGCACCGTAGGTACCCCAAATGAACTAGTATAAGCAACTGGTGTATAAGTAATTGATGTCATTATAGATGATCCCATAAATTAATGTGTCTTCTTTTGCTTGGACTTGAACCTAAGGGAAGTTTATTGTCCTAATATAATCAGTAGGAAAATGCTAGGGGTACAGCTTTGGTGTATCCCAAATATCTCCCACCCCATCCATAACCACATAAAAAGACATGTAAAATTAAAAAAAACAAAACAAAATAAAATGAATGGTAAAGAGGCATGTGGAGTGTACCCCTAGCATCTCTCTGATCAATAAGTTGTTATTTTAAAATAGATGCAATCATAATTTTTTTACACTATTTCATTTGATCAACTTTTGTGAAATTTATAGTACTTTATAAATAGAGAAAAATATAGGACCAATCAATGAACTTCTTTGGAAAATTCAAGCCCTCCATAATTTGAAAGAGGCTACAACAGGAAAGGTATTAGCCCCACATGCTTGATGAAATTAGATATTAGAAAGGCCTATGACTCAGTTAGCTGGAAAAGGTATCAGGCAGGGAGACCCAATCTCCCCCCTCCTGTTTACCCTTATCATGGAATACCTCACCAGAATTTTCTCCTACAATTGCAGGAATGATAATTTCAAATTCCACCCCAGGTGTAAATCTCTTAAACTTGTCAATATTGTTTTTGCTGATGATTTGATTGTGGCTTGCAAGGCTGAACCTCAGTCTATTGAGTGTATTCTGGCTAGCCTTAAAGAATTTAAGGAAACAACTGGCCTGATGCTTAATTATGACAAGTCTCAAGTGTACTTAGGGGGAGTTTCTGAGGATGAGAGTCAAAGTATAATTGAGAGAACAAATATGTCTAGAGGGACCTTTCCCTTTAGATATCTGGGAGGGCCTATCTCTGCATCTCGTATTAGTGAAAGGGAATGTGACAAACTTGTTGAGAAACTCACTACGCAGATTACATCCTGGACCACTAAGCACCTATCCTATGCAGGAAGAGCTAGATTGATAAACACTGTTCTATATGGGGTTATCTTTTTCTGGTGCAGAATTTTCCTTCTCCCTGATAATGTTATGAAGAAGATAATGGCTTTATATAGGAACTTCCTTTGGAGCTCTACCCCTGATTATAAAAAATGTCCCCTCGTTAGTTGGGATGAAGTCTGTTTGCCTAAACAAGAAGGTGGACTAGGTCTGAAAAATTTGCTGAAATGGAACCAGGCATGTCTCATGAAGCTCTTATGGGATATTGCCAATAAAAAAGATACCCTATGGGTTAAATGGATCCACAATAAGTATCTTAAGGGATCATCTGTGTGGGACTACACTACTAAACCCGATGACTGTTATTACTGGAAGAAGTTGGTTCAAACAAGGTGCCTGTTTATGGGAATGAATATGACCAGCTGCTACACTGTCAAGGAGGGATATAATTGGCTTGTAGGCAGCAACCCAAAAGTGGAGTGGTTTGATATGGTTTGGAACAAATGGACTATACCTAAACACTGCTTCATAACTTGGCTTATATGGAGAGGTAGATTACTCACCAAGGATCGTTTAAGCAGATTCATCAATCTGGATACTACTTGTGGTCTTTGCAACAATGGAGTGGAATCAGTCGATCATCTCTTCTGCTCCTGTGCTTTGGCTCGACTGATCTTGGAGGACATTTCTCAATGGATACATGTTGATATCACAGCTGGGTCGATTAGAGAACTGGGAAGTAGAGTGGGGAAAGGAAAGAACAGAAAGAGTCGAAGAACTATAGCTACTTGTATTGCTGCGAGTTGCTACTTCATCTGGAAAGCTAGGAATGGCAAACTTCACAATAATAGGGAAGCTGCCAAGGAGCACATTGTACAAGGAATTAAAGCTGCAGTTACCATGTCAATAGGACACAAAGTTAACATCAATTCTGTTGCCTTATAATTTGTCTTTTGGATATTGTTTGATTTGGTAGTTTTGAGTTGAAATTTAGAGGGGACCTGATTTGTAATGTTTGGTTGGTATTAATATAATGTGCTTTCGTTCAAAAAAAAAATATAGGACATACACTGCCTTGTTATATTTTTCCCGATATACATTTTTATAATAGCGATTTTTATGAATTGTACTAAAATCATCCAATTACCCTATCAATTATTAACTCCTCTTCAAGTTTATTTATTAATACTCTAGATTAATCTACTAATTACGGAGTACATCATATTTATCCTCTAAAAAGTAAGGGAAATAATATGGGAAAGTCAAACACAAAATATTGTCTATTTGAATTTATAAAAACTTAATACTCCCTCTGTCCCTATTTTTATTGCATGTTCCAATTTACGGAGTACTATTTTGATTGAAATTATTTTTAGATCATTTTATATGAAAAAATTATATAATTAAAAAATAAAAATCACATATTAAAATACTACATCAAAAGATTTAAAAAAACTAGTGCTGACATAATTATTTTATTAAATGACTAGCAAAAATAGAAAATGAAAATAAATAAGATTGACCCTGTAAATATTAAACAAATAATTTAATTTGAGAAGGAATATAAGAAATAAGGAAGCGAGACAATATATACCCTCCATGGCGGCCCCATGTCGTTGAACATTTCTCATCCTTGACTTTTGTTATGAAAGAGGAAAACTTTGATTGATAATTTGAAAGGAATACTTTTTTTATTATAATTAAGTTACTTTAGTGAAAGTTATGAATGTGTGTCTTCACAATCTTTCTAACATAGAATATTTTAGATTATTTTCATTTAAAGCATCCTTTTGCTTAAATGTATATTAGTTGTCAAAATTTCCAATAGTTGCTTAAAAGTAAGAAAGGTGGAATTTAGGATCCTACACTGCCCCGACCCGAACTCACTCCCTACCCTTTCAAAAGCATCTTTCAAGTTTATTTGATTTTGGAGTCAAAATTTTGACTCCAAAGTCAAACAAACTTGGAGGGTACTATCGAAGGGGAAGGAGGGAGGGGAGGTGAGTTCGGGTCAAGGTGGGTGGGAGGGTTGTTGGAGGAGTTAAAGGAGATTTGAACCATTAATTTTTCAAACGAAACATCATAGCTGTCCCGAGTCATGCCATGATATTGCTAGACAATGTCACACAAACCGGGGTGATAAACGTAACTTGGAAAAAAAATATGCATTAGAAATTTAGGCATGGGATATGATTAAAATTTCATACCTATCACTTATAATTTGAGATCACACTTAAACAAAATATAATACATAAAAATAAAAACAATATTGTACCAAATTTTTTCTGAAATAAACTTGACTTTTAATATCCCCAATCTGATGATATTTCCCTTTATTTACTCGTATTTTTTATTTAAATTTTTGGGGTAGCCAGCCTACTTTGGGACACATGAGTGATTGAGATAAAGGCATATATACCACTAAAAAGAAAGTAAGAAAGTAGTTTGGGACACATGAGTGATGGGGATCAATGCAGAATACTAAGAAAACTGCATGCACAGCTATTCTAATTACACTTACACAATGGGATTTACTCTAACACAAAGAAACACAAACATTAAGGGGGTAATAATCATGAATATATCAAAAAGAAGAATCTAATCAACACCCTTATCTCCATAATGCAGAAATTTATCACTCATATATCATAATTAGCAACTAATGTTACTAGAACAAATTCTGAAATACATATACATACATACACACACACACATACATACATACATATGTATGTATTTATTTCAGAATTTAGGATGGGACACACTCGCAGAACACATTGATAGAATTTAGGATGTGATAGAGATAACTGGATTGGGTAATAAGACACTTGGGTTGAACCACATTAAAAGATTAAATCCAATCTGGATTAGTTAGTTCAACTCAAGAGCTTATATACCGATTATTTTACTCTTGCACTTCCGATGTGTGATGCACTTTAACATACATGAAGAATCAGCCAAGAAATTAATGGCAGGACCATGCATGCCAATATATGGTGCTTCATGGTATGGTATACAAAACAGACATAATCAGTAATCATAGTAGGATAACACGCGCCTCCTAAAGCATCGACTGTAAATAGCTCAATCAAGAGAATTGATTGATGAACGCCATCGACAAAGAAAAATTTAGTGAGCATGTCTAATGTCTATCACCATTTCAACAGTTTCATCGAGCAAATCTATAGCAATATGTGTGTGTGTCCCATCATGAAAATTCCATTGAAACAAATAGGGCTCTTTGGCAAGTTTTCTATCAGCTTTAGCGTTTTGAACTATTGTTTATTGTTTAATGGTGCATACTAACTTTAAAAAAGCTAAAACTAAACGCTAATGTTAGGTAGTCTTTTGAAAACGCTAAAGCTGTTGCCAAACAGGCACATAAATATTAAGGAACATCATTCACAGGACTCCTTTCCCCTATTTGCAATGACCCAAGTGAATGTTGGGACTTGGGAGATGCAATACTAATCAACAATTGCAATGGTTATAGGGGCAAGCAATATATATGGCTCTTTTTAATGTACCAACGACTATGCCATTGTTCAGTGAATCCACTCCAACCTCCATGGGGGGGGGGGGGGGG